TAGTGGATGCCCATCTGGATAGTATAATACCGCTCTTGTCTCTATTCACCAATTGGCCAGAAATTCCTTCGTAGTGCTCCAAGCAGTCTAAGACCCTCCTGATAGACTGTTTCTAACCATTGGCAAAGATGATCATATCATCAGCAAATGAGAGATATGAGACAAGAGCACTACCTCCATGTCGATAACACATACTGGGATACTCCTGAAACCTCTGAGTGAGCAAGCGTGAGAAGTAGTCTGCTGCGATGATGAACAAGGATGGGGAGATTGGATCACCCTGTCTGAGTCCTCGTGAGGAGGGAAAGAAACCACGTGGGCAGCCATTTAGGAGTACGAAGAAACGACACTCCGAAATGCACCGCCTGATTCTGTCAATCCAGATCTGATCAAATCCAAATGCCTCCAATACAAAATAAATGAAGCCCCAATCCATGCGATCATATGCTTTAGCCATGTCTAACTTCAGCATAGTGTTTCCCCCTCGCACTCTATCATCTAAAGTGTAGAGAAGCTCCTGAGCCAATAAAACATTATCTCCAATCAGACGACCTGGGATGAAACCACTCTGTGGAGGGGAAATAATGCGCGGTAGCAATGTACTCAACCGAGTGTTCAAAAGCATAGTAATAATCTTATTGAACACTGTGCATAAACTAATTGGTCTGAATTCAGTCCATTTGCAAGCACCATCCTTCTTAGGTAGTAAGACAATAGAAGTAGCAGCAAAACCCCATGGAAGATGACCACCATCAAAGAAATCCAATACCACCCTGTAAACATCCTCCTGAATGATATCCCAGCAATGCTGGAAGAATAGGGATGAGAAGCCATCCGGGCCAGTGACACTGTCAGCATCAATACTGAAAATTGCCTCCCGTACCTCATGAATCAAAGGGGGGCAGTTTAGTGCCAAATTATCGTCCACCGTCAATAGCCTTGGAATGACATCAGAACGGATGTGGTCCAAGGGTTGTGGAGGAGCAGATAAGAGATCCTGGTAGAAAGCAACAGCTGAGGTCTGAATATCAGTAGGAGTAGATAACACTTCCCCCGCCTGTGTCCTGATAGACCTGATACGCGATTTGATCCTACGCCCCTGAACCATCGCATGAAAATATCTAGTATTGCGATCACCCTCACATGCCCAACGTGAACTGGCCTTTTGCTTCCAAAAGCCCTCCTGAATAGACAAGGTCCGGTTCAAAATTGCCTGGGCCTGATGTAGTAAGTTACGGTGCTCCGGTGTAGGATCTCTATCATATATTATCTCAGTATCACGCACCCGCTGGAAAATATCTCCAAATACATGTTGGTTCCACCAGCACAGACCTTGTTTCAGCCTGAAGAACTTCTCCTAAAGAGGGGTCATCCCTGTGAGATGAGTAGGGAGCGACCACTTCAGGGAGACAAAGGCTAAAAAATCATGGTGCTTGGTCCAAACATTGAGGAATCTGGCCCCAAATCATCATCAGAAACCCACTGAAGCAGTAAAGGAGAGTGATCGGATGAAGTCCGATTCAAGTGTCTCACTATAAGCTGTCGACAAAAAGCTGCAGCTGTAGAATTAATAAGTACCCTATCCAATCTCTTTCTGACCCGACCATTGGTCCAAGTATATCGGTTTCCAATGAAACCCGCATCCTCTAAACCACAGTCTAACATCATATAAGAGAAAGCAGTAGTGCCATGATTACGGGTATTATGACCAGTGCGCTCTCCATCATGTGTAATAACATTAAAGTCTCCTCCAACTAGCCAAGGATCATCCATATCGAGGGAGATGTGGTGAAGACCCGCCCACAAATCTCTCCTGATAGTAGCATCGCATGACGCGTAGACTGGAGTCAAATAGATAGCACGCGCTAGTCTGGGATCCTCAACTCTAATGTGAAGAAACTGGGGATGATCAACAATAATAGTAACATTAGTCCTCGAATTCCAGAAAAACCAGATCTTATTCGATTCATTCTGAGCTCCCATGTCGAAGCGCAAATAGCGTCGTGTATATGCAAAATTCTACCGCAAAACAAAAGGCTCCAATATAGCTAGAAGATAAACCTGATGAAGCTGTATAAGTTTCTTCAGCCACCGACGAGTAGCTACACTAGCTACACCGTTCACATTCCAAATGATGGCATTCATAGGGAAGGAGAATGTGAGGAGGTATCATGTGACTGACTCCGAGTGATCCTTCTGCTCGGATGTGGAGTATCAGTAGCCCGTGGGTGTCTCTTCCGAACAACTGGGATAAATCCATCATCCTCTGTCCTCTCATCCAAACCCACCAAGTCATCAGAAGAAGATCTTCGAAAAGGTCCCTGCTGGTGAACCTCAATTTGAGGTGAGCCCTCTGTATCTGAATGTGCAGACTGCAAAGATGGAATAGATGCCTCCACATTTTGATGATAAACAGGAGGAGAAGAAGTGGAAATAGGTGCCTGAGCCCTACCCGGTGTCGGGCCTGGAATGTAAAAAGCTCTGCTGACTATGTCTGCTGTAGAATTCTGTGTCTGTGGCCTCTTCAACATCTCATCCAACATAGGATCATAAATTGGAGTGTTCAGGGCTTAGGGTTTAGGGCTTTGGGCTTACGATTTAGGGCCTGGGGTTTAGGGTTTTTGGGACACGGTGTATAGGACATGTCCAGAACGTAGCCTTATTTTCAGGCATTTGTAGGCGGTTTCAGGGACACGGTGTGCAGGCCTTGTCCGGGATGCATCCTGGCCATGGACACAATCTGATTTTTAGGCATTTCTAGGCAGTTTCTAGGCCATGGTTGCACGCTATGTCCGGGAGCGTCCTGTCCGCGGACGCAATCTGATTTTTAGGCATTTCTAGGCAGTTTATGGGCACGGTGTGCAGGCCATGTTCGAGAGGCATCCTGGCCGCGGACTCAATCTGATTTTCAAGCATTTCTAGGCAATTTCTGGGCACAGTGTACAGGCAATGTTTGGGCCGCGTCCTGACCACATTAGGGACGCAAGTAGATTTTCAACCAAATGAAGGAAGCGCGGTGTACAGGCCATGTTAAGGACGTATGCATGTTCCCAAACATTTCGGATAGTTTTTGGGACACAGTGTGCAGGCCAAATTTGGGATAAGTCATGGCCATAGAAAGGACGCAGCCTGATTTTCAGGCATTTTTCGACAGTTTTTAGGCACTGTGTGCAGCCATGTCAGGGACACATCCTAGACCTGACAGGAGCGTAACCTCATTTTTAAGCATTTCTAGGCAGTTTCTAGGTCATGTTGTGTAGGCCATGTTCAGGAAGCATCTGAGCCACGATAAGGACGGAGCCTAATTTTTAGGCATTTCAGGCAATTTTTTGGCACGGCATGCAGACCATGTTTGGGACGCTTCCTGATCGTGGTAGGAACGCAACCTAATTTCCAGGCATTTCTAGGCAATTTCTAAGACACGGTGTGCAGGCATTGTCCAAGATACAGCAGGTACGTAGCCTGATTTTCATGATATTCTACGTAATTTTTGGGACGTAGTGTGCAGGCCATGTCCGAGACTCGTCTGTACCACGACAGGGATGCAGCCTG